CCCAAGACATTTACTCAATACAGTGGCTAAATTAACAAAAAATAAAGCATCAACAGGGGCAAACATTTCCCAACAGCACAGCAGTAATGACTTTATGAACTTCTTTACTTCCAAGATCGATATTATTAGAGGCAAAATTCTAACTATGCAGCCGTCAGCTACAGTATCGCATCAGACCGTGCACTATAGATCCCCTGAGGAACAATTCCACTCATTCTCTGCTATAGGAGAGGAAGAATTGTATAAACTTGTCAAATCATCAAAACCAACAACTTGTATGTTAGACCCTATTCCATCTAAGCCACTAAAAGAGGTTCTTCCAGAAGTCATAGATCCTCTTCTGAATATTATTAATTTGTCAATGTCATTAGGATATGTCCCAAAATCCTTCAAACTGGCTGTTATTAAGCCTCTCATTAAAAAAACACAACTTGATCCTAGAAAATTTGTTAATTACAGACCGATCTCAAATCTCCCTTTTCTGTCAACAATACTAGAAAAGGCGGCATCCTCTCAGCTATGTTCCTTCTTTAATGAGAAATGGTATCTGTGAGGATTTCCAGTTAGGATTTAGACCGTATCATAGTACTGAGACTGCTCTCATCAGAGTTACAAATTACCTACTCTTATCATCCGACCGTGGTTGTATTTCTCTATTAGTGCTACTGGATCTCAGAGCTGCATTTGATACTATCGACCACAACATTCTTTTGAGTAGACTACAAAACTATGTTGGCATTGGCATGGTTCAAATCTTACTTATCTGACCATCATCAATTTGTAGCAGTGAATGAAGAGGTATCATATCAATCACAAGTACAGTATGGAGTACCACACGGCTCAGTACTAGGACCACTACTTTTCACGCTTTACATGTTACCCTTGGGAGATATCATCAGGAAACATGGTGTTAGCTTTCACTGTTATGCTGATGATACTCAGCTCTATGATTCTTCGCGGCCCACTGATACATACCAATTCGCAAAACTAATGGAATGTATAGTTGATATAAAAAACTAGATGACTACTAATTTCCTAATGCTAAATTCTGAAGAAAAAAAAAAACAGTGGTGTTAATTATTGGACCAAAAACCTCTGCATGTAATAACCTAGAACACTGTCTAACACTTGATGGCTGCTCTGTCAATTCTTCATCATCAGATAGGAATCTAGGTGTGCTATTTGATAGCAATCTTTCCTTTGAAAACCATGTTTCTAGCATTTGTAAAACTGCATTTTTCCATCATAAAAATATATAATTACGACCTATGCTGTCAATGTCAAATGCAGAAACTTTAATTCATGCGTTCATGACCTCAAGGTTAGATTATTGTAATGCTTTATTGGGTGGTTGCTCTGCGTGCTTAATAAACAAACTCCAGCTGGTCCAAAATGCAGAAGCTAGAGTTCTAACTAGAACCAGGAAGTATGACCTTATTAGCCTAGTTCTGTCAACTCTGCACTGGTTCCCTATTGAACATCGTAAACATTTTAAAATCTTGCTAATTACTTATAAAGCCCTGAATGGTTTAGCTCCTCAGTACTTGAGCGAGCTCATAAACATTATAGCCCTTCAAGTCTACTGCGATCTCAAAACTCTGGCGATTTGATAATACCAAGAATATCAAAATCAACTGCGGTCAGCAGATCCTTTTCCTATTTAGCGCCCAAACTCTGGAACAATCTACCTAGCCTTGTTCGGGAGGCAGACACACTCTATCAGTTTAAATCTAGATTAAAGACCCATCTCTTTAACCTGGCATACACATAACACACTATCACATTTCTATAATTAAAATCCGTTAAAGTATTGTTATCTGCATTAGTTAGGTCAACCGGAACCAGGAACACTTCCCATAACACCCGATGTACTCATTACATCGTAAGAAGAATGGCATCTATGCTAATCAGGACAAGACCACAGGAACCAGACAAGTCCTCTGCTTAATCTGACCTGTATTGCAGCCTGGAATTAAACCACACCATCCTGGTTTTGTCTGTTGGAAGAGATCTGAACTGGATGATGACATCACTGAATCATCAATTAACTGAAAAATTGACTGTTTTGTTATTGTCCTCTTGCATTATTGACAAACTATTTTCCTGTTTGACACTGTAAAGCTGTTTTGACACAATCTGTATTGTTTAAAGCGCTAAATAAATAAAGGTGACTTGACTTGACTATAGATTTGCCATGACATCCAACTCTTTGATATATTTCTAATAGAAAAACTTATTTGGCAAAGACTTATTTGTGGATGAACTAAAACCAGAAGAATACCCAGAACAAATCTAGATTGAGATGAAGAGGTTCTTTAGTACCTGCTGGGCTCGCATCTTGTCAGCTCTCTGGTTCTGATGGTAGATTCGGCTGAAGTTGGACACGATGACAGGTACAGGAAGGGCGATAACCAGCACGCCACTGAGAGAGCAGATAGAGCCGAAGATCTTTCCGGCGATGGTGTTTGGAACCATGTCTCCATACCTGCAACAAACACCAACGTCAGTCAGACACTTAACAACTCTATATGTGTGTGTGAGAAAGAGAATGGCAATTTGTGTGAATATGATTACGCTGATTTAATGACCAGTGCTCGCTCAGAATCTATTTTGCAGTCGCATTTAATGTAATTGTGTAAATTAGTTTGGAAAAGTGCATGCGTATTTCAATTCGCAAGGCTTCAAAGCTCATCTCTGATGCCCTCGGGGCTCAAAAAGACCCCTAACACAACCCATTACCCATGTTTATTAGCAGAATATACCATCATAGAATTGTAGAACGCTATTAAGGTGACGTGCTTCTCATAAACACTCACGCAGTACTGCAGCAGCCATAATCACCACTGTCCTCCTACGGTCGCCATGATTTTGCCAAGTAAGACATGTTCCTGGATCAACATAACTGTCCAAAAATATAGACTTAACCCAATCCCTACCCCTAAAACTAACCCTACCTAAAAACTTTCCCTGTTTGTAAGCCTAAAACAGATATTTCCTGAAAAGTTATCCCTCAATTCTGATTGGTTGATAGGAATGTTGTTCCAGGATCAACAAGGATTTTGATCCAGGAACATGTTGTACTTGGTGAAATCACGGTCACCGTCCTCCTACACACTGCATGAGGGTTAACTCATTTACAAAGGTGGTCATGGTTAAGATGTAACTCATAAATGTCTGAGTGGAAACACTATAGGTATGTTTGGAATGGCATAGTATGATATTACTCATATGATTTTTGCAGTATGCATAATAAATGTGCACAATATGCACATTTTCTTGCACATGCATGCAATTCCTGGATGGCATTAGTTAAAATGTACAGTTTGTGAAATACTATATCCCACAATGCATCGCACTCAGTTTTACTTTGCATTTCCAACAACTGTGATTTTCTTTTTACTTTCCTGGCCATTATTAGATCTGACTGCTAAAACATAATTGGATTAAAATCCACTAGCTAAATTCACAACTACATAGCACTCATATTTACGACGGCGTTTTAGTGCCACGTTAAAAAAAAAAAAATCTAAGATTACAAGTCGTAATATCTTGAAAAAAAAGTCACAGTTATGAGAATAATGTCAAATATTTTGAGAATAAAGTTGAAATTAAGTGAATAAAGTCAAAATATTTTGAGAATAATGTCAAAATTACGAGAATAAAGTCTCATAATTTTGACTTTATTCTCAAATTATTTAGACTTTATTCTCGTATTGCTTCGACTTTATTCTCGTAGTTTTGACCTTTTTCTCAAAATATTATGACTTTAATCTCGTAATCTTAGATTTAAAAAAAAATAAAAAATTTTACGTGGCACTAAAACGCCATACAATATACTACTGTTTATATGCCATATAAAGAGAAAAAAATATAGTTAAATAATATATTTATAAAGTTATATTAGTCAATGACAAATGGGAATTTAACAATCAAATAAAGAGTTAAACTATAACATAATTCATTAGAATTAGAACATTAGTGGTGTTTCTAGGCTTTTGCAAAGATTAAATTTTTGTTGCCACACACACACACACATACACACACACACACACACACACACATATATATAATGTCTGTGTGTGTGTGCATGTGTAAAATTAATGTATGTGAAACAGTAGGAGTTATTTTTAGGATTTACTTAAAAATGTTTTTATACATTTAAAAAAAATACATGTAAAATATTTTATTACGAAAAAATGTATAGAAATATATTTTATTCAAATAAATTGTTCATTACTTTCTGAAATAAATTTGAGGCAACCCTTTTCCTTAATGACTTATTTTGACTTAATTATATATGACATATAATTAAACTTTTTTTTTTTTCTCTGACAAAAAAAAGGGAGGGGGGTAATTTTCAGGTTGTTCTAAGTATGGTTAAAATTGGACAAGTGTAATCAAGTCATTCTTGACAGAAAAGAAAACAAAGAGAGAGGGAAAAAAATACTTTTTTTGCCTTTTAGATTCAATAAATGCTCATTCTGGACAAGAAAGGAAGATCTGAGTTCTGAAAGTTACTGTATATTTTTATAGCAGGTACATCAAACTCTTTTATAACTCAAACAAAGAAAAATATGCAAAAAGTGCAGCCCACTACACCAATAACATCCATAGCGGAATATAGTTTTTGGATGGTGAAGCATGAAACAACGTACAATAATTCACAGCTATACATGCAGACAGCAACACTTTTGAAATGTCATTCTCTGATGTTTTTGAAAGGTTCCTGGTGCGATAAACATTTCTCTGAGGTGCACTCTGCATTTTGGATTAGCCACTGACAACACAACAAAAGAGAGAGAGAAAACGCTATCATCATACGGCACATTCAAATTCACATCATGTTCCATCCCTTCACAGGAGACCGATCTGCAGGTGGCGTAAATTAAACCAATATTTGTTTTTACAGCGGTGTTGATGTTCTGCACTTATATACTGTACCTGTCTACAGCATCACCAGACTGAAACTGTCTGAACCTTTCCTTCAATAATACGGACAGTATGCAAATCAAAACTTGGATTCATTTTCTTAGAGTAGGGAAATAAATAAGAGTTAACCAAAGTGACTTGCCCTATTGCATTTAAGCTATGCATTTTAGTAGTTCAAGCATTCCCTGGCAATCTAACCCATGGTGTTGCTAGCACCATGATTCACTGTTTGAGCTACAGGAATGCTATATAAGCCACTCAAGGCTGTGCCACAGTTGACCACAGTTAAGAGCTGTGGTTAGCAGAATCAGGTAAAATTCTGAATTTAAGAACTGATTTTATTTCTCTAACACAAGTTTGTCAGTAAAACAAATTATCTACAGTATTATAAAAGTACGGAGCCCCTAAAGGGACAAGATGATGGATAAGAAATATGAGATAGGAGAAAAAAATACTTTTATTTTCTTTTGAATTTCCCTTAGAAACCTTGCATTCACTCACAACATTCCAGAGAAATGTTGCCCTTGTTTGCAGTACTGTTGAGTTGAGTTTCTTGGCGCAATGCAAAGGTTTCTGCAAGTGAAAAGTTTCTCCAGGGACCACAAACTATCTGTGAGAGAACTTAAAGAATTTAAATATATTTTTTCCATCTTCATGTTCCTTAAAGGGCTCTGTATAAATATATTAAATTACGAATAAATAATTCATAAATAAAAAAAATAAATAAAATAAAATAATAAAGTAAATCAAATTAATTTTTTGACTAATTATGCTTATTTATTGCTTAAAACATTCATGTTTGTGGTAAATTTAAAAATTGCCAAACGACATACTATGTCATGTCACCAATTACAATGTAACACTTTCACAAAAATCACCCACTTTTGTTGCATGAACAAAAACACTTTCTTTATTTTACTACTTCTTACACGGATGTAAAATAAAGTTTTTGTGAGCAAATGCAAAATTACTTGAAAAATGCAAAACATTAGCAAAAGCATTTAAACTTTTTTTCCCTCTCTTCTAATATTTTTTTTCCATCACCATACCCCATTAGAAGCTCCATTTAAATATAATAATAATAATAATAATAATAATAATAAAATGCTAATAAATAAATTAATGTAAATTAAAATAAATTTGACTAATGATGTTTATTTATAGAAAGGAAAATTTCTTACTCATGAATCTTTTTGCTGCACAAACAAAGCAAGAAGTTTCTTAAAGGAATGCAAAACATTGAGAGAATGCCAAAGCACTGAAATATATGTTTTTTCTCCCTTGTAATATTTTTTTTTCTATCACCATGTCTCATTAGGGGCTCCATATAAATATGCCAAATAATAAATAAATTCTTAATTAAAAATTATAATAAAGAACCTTAATTATTAATTAAAAATTAATAATTAAAATGTTAAATTTGACTAATTATGTTAATGTATTACATAGAAAACATTTCTCTCAATTTTGCTTCTCATGTGTCATGTTACAGATCATAACATTATACATTATCTCTATTATGTCTCTCTATAATGTTTTATTGACACATCAGACTGATATGGGATTTCTCATAAGAGCCTGATCAGATGAGAGACTCAAACACACACACCCTACCCACAAACCCTTTCCATCATCCCCTCAGGACACACCATGCTCCCGGGACTAATCCACATCGGCCCGGCCCCCTAATCTTGTTTACAACTGGTAAATGTCCAAATTTTAGCACTGGCAGATGGCCCCAGGTGCACAAGGAGGGCAGAAAGCAGATTTGTTCGATGACAATGCCTATTATCTCTCCAATGGTTCTTCATTTTCTTGATCTCTCGTTCATTCTGTTGTTTATCATTGTTATTCGGCTATAAAGCAGTGATCAGCAGTTAGTGAGAAAGAAAGAAAAACATTTGCCAGAGCAAAAGCCTCATTATCTACATGAGGAGGATGCTGATAAATTTGGTTTGAAACATGAAACCGTAAAACTGCTACATAAACAGTAAAAGTTGCTCCGAAAAGGACATAAATTCATGCATATCGTTCAGGCATTATCCAGGAGACCTCACTATCCCTTTAATTTTCCCATAATAGAAAGTCTTAGACAGACGTCCCTTGGGCAAGAACGAGGCTGCCTGGCCTAGATGCCGGTCTGGAAAGGGGTCAAGGAGGTTTGCCAGAAGTTCACGGAGAACATCGAGCAGAAACGGGACGGAAGATTAAACAGCAACAGCATGGAAAAGATCAGAGGAAAAACAGCAAACAGTTGTTTTCATGACTGCTGATGCTGAGTTTTTCCTCCCCTCCTGAAGCTCCAACACCGGGACATCACCGCTTACACTCTCTCTCTCTCTCTCTCGCGGAAATCTTGCTGGAGATAAAAAGGACGATTAGGTACAGGAGGACACAATTTAGAGAGCCCAAAATACAGCTTCCTCAAACATGTCTATTTTTGCCCTGCAAATCTGATACATTCCTGTTTCCCCGGCCTTGAAACATGATATCACTTTAAACTCAGCAAAACTCAGCTATGAATAGCAGCGGTTGTACAATCGCAATTAGGAGCAC